AGAGAAACCACCCCATTGAGAAGCCCTTGCACCACATGAAGAGCCTGCATGGCCCAACTAGAGGATGCCCGCGGCTGCAATGAAGACCCAGCTCAGCCAGGGGAAAAAAAAAGAAGAGTCCCTTTCCTCTTGGAGCTGACGTTCTAAAAGGGGAGACCTTTCATCATTAAACACATAAACATATAAGGTCACACCAATGATCCCACTTCTGAAAATGTATTCTGTGGATGTGTATGGACACATGTGAAATGAATACATTCAACGTTATTCACTGCAGTCTTGTTTAGCCCAGTTTAATCTTGTTTCACCTCAGATGCAGTCTAAATTCTATCATTTAAATGAAGTTAAATGAGGTTAAATGAAGTATGGATGAGCCAGAGGAAGACTATACAACTACAAAAAGGGTGAGGTCACTTTTTATGTACTGATACAGAAAGATCTCCAAGATATATTGACAAATAAAAGGGATGTCAGGAATACTTTGAGTAAAAGAGGGGGGAAATAAAAAATATTTTAATACCAGCTTGCATATGTAACAAACTAATAGTAATACTTGTTAACTGTGTACAGGACCAGGATTGGAATGAGATGGGTGGGAGGGAGATTTTTCACTATGTTCTTTTCTATAGTTTTAATTTTTGTACTAGTGCAGAAAAAATTTTTTTTAATTCAGCTTCCTCTTTCCTCCTTCCCTTTTCCAATATTTGTTGGAGGTGGTGGGCAGGATGTGGGACCAGTCATGGAAAAGCAGCTGAGTGAGGACGGGTCAGAGAAGGGAATCATAGATATGGAAATGGGAAAGGCTAGTGTGAACCCAGTGGTGCTGGGGGAATCAGTGTGAGCTAATGGCATTTGATAAGTGTAGACAGATAAGCATAGATATAAATGTGTGTGTCTGTGCCCCATACATGTGTTTCTCAGTCCTATCCACAAAGAGAACCTAGGAGCACTAATACCCGCATAGCAATGAGTACTCATAACACCAAATCTTGGTTGCTAAATGTAGCATTGTCCACTGAAAGGAACCAGGAATCCTTGGGAAAATGACTGACTTGAGAGCTGGGCCAAGGAAAGTACACAGTAAGCCTGGAACATCTACTTTGTCTGTAAAATAAGTAGAAGTGCTCAAGTAATGCTGGGGACATGTCAACAGAGCCTAGGAGCTACTGGGATGATATGAGCATCAGAAAAAATGATGACAGTGAATAAATGATTACAACACACCCGAATAAAAATCAAGTTCTATGGAGATTTCCCTGGTGATCCAGTGGCTAAGACTCTAAGCTCCTAAAGCAGGGGCTCTGGTTCAATCCTTGGTCAGGGAACTAGATCCTGCATGCCACAACTGGGGAATCCCACAGGCTGCAACTAAGACCTGGTGTGCGTGTGTTGTAAGTTGATCAGTTGTGTCCAACTCTTTGTGACCACAGGGACTGTAGCCTACTAGGTTGCTCTGTGCATGGGATTTCCCAGGCAAAAGTACTGGAGTGAGTTACCATTTCCTTCTCCTGGGGATCTTCCCAACCCAGGGACTAATTTAGTGGCTGAAAACAAGATCCATTTAGCTCACAGCTCTATGAGTCCCAAGTCTGGCACAGTCAGTTCAGTTTAATTGCTCAGTCGTGTCCAACTCTTTGCGACCCCGTGGACTGCAGCACGCCAGGCCTCCCTGTCCATCACCAACTCCCAGAGTTTACTCAGACTCATGTCCATTGAGTCAGTGATGGCATCCAACCATCTCATCAGACAGTCAACTATGCCATATAACCTAACCTAATCATGGGAGTGAACTCCATCATAGTCACAGTCCAGGGGATTATGCTGGACAGGCACATCTAGGGGGGTTGGAAATCTTGAGTGCCATCTTAGAATTCTTCCTGCCATAGTGGGAGTTAAGGAACAAGGAAACCAGTGGGGCTGTACAAGAGTAATCAAGGGGAGGAGGGGTAGGAGACAGCTGAGTATCTCAGGTACCATAGAGACCACTGGGAGACTGAGGTCTAGAAAGTGACCTTGGGTAGTTTTGCTCCTGAGTAAGGGGCCATGGACTCACTTGAAATACAGAGCAACCCTGAGGTACGACCCAAAAGATGATTTAAATCAAAGGGATGCAGGCCTAAAGTAGCCCTGGAGGAATCAGTGCACTGTTGGGCAAGGGTGATGAAGGGTCTGCTCTATGCCTTTGACCTGGAAGGGGCAATGCAAGAAGCCACAGGGTCCTGAAACCTATAAAAGTTGGCTGGAAAAATATTTTCAAAACTTCCCAGGGACTTCCCTGTTGGTTCAGCGGTTAAGACTCCGTGCTTCCAAAGCAGGAGCCCGGGTTTGATACCTGGTCAGGGAACTAGACCCTGCATGCCGCAGCTGAGATCCCACGTGCCACAATTAAGACCTGGCACAGCCAAATAAAAAACAATGAAAACTTTCTAAAATTCAAAGCAATGAAGTTCAATTATGTGTCTACGAAGCAGCATTATGTCAACTGGTGATCAACAACAGATTGGAATCACCTAATAGTTACACCTAATAGTTACATCAGTGTTATATTTAATATGATTGCATTTTATCTCCATTTTTAAATTACTGTGTTTATTTCCCCATAGGATCATAGCAGCATACAAAATAAAAAGGTACAGAAGGGGATGGAATGAAAGGAAATCTCTCCTACTTTTGATGGCTAGCCACTCCTCCTCCTCCCTGGACGCCAGTTTTCTGGGCTCAGAGGTATTTTCTGCACACAAGTGAATGCACATATACACACTTTACAAGGGTAGCTGCTCTGCCTGCTTTCTTCCCCTTGGCAGTGTATCTTAGAGATGCTTCTGATGACTTCGTATTGAGCTGCCTGGTCTTTTGTACAGCAGTGGAGAGGTCTGTGAGCCAGCTCTGCCAGCAAACCTACCACTTCTCCCAACACCCTAAGCACTCTTGGCCTCTCTCTGGCCCCTGGGAGAGTCACTGAAGCTCCAGCTCATCTCACTACTTCCACTCAGTTAATGAGTCTGAGATCTGCTTGCCCATCCATGGCTGCCCAACAAGACTGAAGGCTGAATCACACCACCCAGAATTGTGCAAGAGTTAGGGCCCAACCCCAGGGCAAATGAAACAAAAGAAAGCCAGAAGGCAGAGTAGAAGGGAGATGAATTATCAGGTGCTTTAGGCATCTTTGGTTCAGATGGTAAACAATCTGCTTGCAGTGTGGGAGATAAGGGTTCCACCCCTGGGTCAGGAAGATCCCCTGGAGAAAGGAATGGCAACCTGCTCCAGTAGTATTGCCTGGAGAATCCCATGGACAGAGGAGCCTGATGGGCTACAGTCCATGGGGTCACAAAAAGTGGGACATGACTGAGCGACTGACACTTTCACTTTGAGGGGCAGGAGGCAGAGGGCTCAGTCCTGCCAACCTGAACATCACTGCCCACCTTTCCTGTGCACAGGTGGAAGTTTCTCCAGAATGTATCCAGGAATGGGACTGCTGGGTTGTAGAGTAAGTGCAGAATAATGACAAGTTATTCTCCAAAGTTGTACAGATTGACCCCCCTAAAACCAGTGTCAAGGAGTTTTCCTTATTCCATGCAAGTGATCACATTTGGATTTGTCCAGCCTTTTAGGTTTTGCTGATCTAGTGGACATGAAATGAGCTTTTAACTTGGATTTCCTGAATTACTAAGAGGTTGAGCATCTTTTCATATGCTCACTGGCTATTCATGTATTCTATTTTCTGTGTTTGTTTTTTTTTTCTTTTTGATTGTCTTTGTCTTGTTGATTTGTAGGAACTCTTTATATACTTTGAATACTAATCTTTGTCAGATTGTTACAAACATTTCCCAGTTTGTGGCTTATCTTTTCAGTTTTCTATGATGAACTTTGAACAGTCTTAATTCTAATGTAGATTAGTTTATTAATATTTGCTTTTATGGTTTAGATTTTTTGTCTTCTTGTTTGAAAAATTTTCTCCAACACAAATCCATCCTAATCTTTCTACAGTACATTTGTACATATATTAAAAATGAGACATATTGTATGTCCTATTTTATAGCTACTTTTCTACTTATGGGGCCTTCCCTGGTGTCTCAGACAGTAAAGAGTCTGCTTGCAATGCAGGAGATATGGGTTCTGTCCCTGGGTCAGGAAGATCTCCTGGAGAAGGAAATGGCAACCCACTCCAGTATTCTTGCCTGGATAATCCCATGGACGGAAGAGTTTGGAGGGCTATGGTCCATGGAGTTGCAAAGAGTCAGACATGACTGAGCGATTAACACTTTCTACTTAAGAATATAACATGAACATTTTTCTATGTCTAAAATTCTACAGCATCATTGGTAAATGGTTGCATAGTTTTTTATTGCGTGAAACATACTATTTACTGAATCCCTTATGCATGTTTTTATCTCCTATGTTGTTTTCAGTTTTTCATTATTATCAACAGATTTGTCAACAACATCCTGCAGCTATTTGGTCTACATTCATGGTGATTTCTCATAGATAAAGTCCTAGGAGAGAAATTGCCCCTCCAATTAAAGATTTCTGATCCATTGTAGCAAATTTGCCAGAGGTCTTACTTGATTCCCTTCCTAGAACAACATGACATTGTATTAAATTGCCCTTCCCAAGAGTCTAGAATCAGCAAAGTGGATGGATGGCACCAGGTAGGGGGTCCTGGAGACTGTGTTTTGAGCTGAAAGTAGTTAGGAGGTGGGTTTGGTTGCAGGAATGGAGATGGTCCCTCTACGGGAAGACTTTACCCCTCTCCTTCCCACTCCCCTCACAGGTAACACGCCTTTATTAGGTGGTGTTGAACAAAAAGAGCCAAGAAATACCTGTTGAGACTGGCCTGGGTGTTACTTCTCTGCTAACTAATTGTATTTCTTTCTTTCTTTCTTTTTTTACCACGTTGCATGCCTTGTGGGATCTTAACTCCCTGAACAGGGATCAAACCTGTACCCTCTGCAGTGGAAGCTTGGCCTCCTAATCACTGGACTGCCAAAGAAGTCTCTAACTAATTTTATTTTGAACGGTGTGAGTGGCTGCCCCAACTAGTCTATCTGTGTGTTGAGAACTGGTAATAGTGTCACTTACAGCTGCTGCCAACTGCAACTGGGTAAGCAAGTTTCTCTTGAAATATTTTTCCAGTGAACCGAAAAATAAAAAAAGTCCCCCAGAGAATGCTCAGCTTGAGAACTTGAAAACCTTAGAATAGGACCCTCATCTTGCGAGGAGTATCAAACTTTTAATAGATAAGTATTTATGTTAGCAAATATCAACATATATTTAAAATTATTAATTGATACTAAATTTTGTTTATGGTGGTGGTGTAAAGTTTTCCACTAGTGCGAACTGACTTTATTTATTAATTTTTTAATGAGACAATTTAAAGAAAAATATTGAGTAAATTATATGAAATACAAACAGAAAGAAAGTAAGAGTTGGTGGGGGGAGGTGGTACAGTTGTGTCGAAACTTTGAGAAACTCTGCCCTGATGGAAACCCCCTCCTTTGAAGAAGTCTAAGACATGGCTGGGTTGGGTCAGGGAACAGCAAAGCCTTAGGACTCTAGGGAGGCCTCTGGGCAGTTCCAGAAGATGGAGACATCCTATTCAGAGGAGGGGCAAGTCATTCTTTATGTTACTGAAAACATATGTAGGGACTAACAAGTGTCTTTCCCTGTTCATTGTCACTTAATACTTGTAGCAGCTTTGTGCAGTTTCAGGCTATGGGAAAGGTTACCCCATTCCTTTACGGAGAGGAATGGAGGCCTGGAGAGAAGAAGCAATTTGCTTGTGCTGCTCATGGGGTGAGCAGGCTTCCCTGGTGGCTCAGATGGTAAGAATCTGCCTGCAATGTGAGAGACCCAGGTTCGATACCTGGGTTGGGAAGTTAGGGAAGATCCCCTGGAGAAGGGAATGGCAACCAACTCCAGTATTCTTGCCTGGAGAATCCCATGAACAGAGGAGCCTGGAAGACTACAGTCCAAGGTGTCGCAAAGAGTCGTCCATGACTGAGTCACTAACACACACACATGCACACGAACACACACACACACACATGCTCATGGGGTGAATACATGGGAGAGGAGGACTTGGCTCTAGTGGTGGCTTTGGAATTTGTGAAGTATATCAGGACTTGGACCTCTGGGGCCAGTACACCCACAACCCTTTGATGACAGCAGTAACAGTGATAACCATTAACATTTATTGAGTGCCTGCTGTGTGCTGGCTCTCTGCTAAGCAGCCTTGGCTGTCTCCATGAACACTTTATACTCACCCTCTGGTGTCGGATCCATCACTTCCCAGAACGTGTCGAGGGAGAAGTTATCAATTCATGGTGCCTGCTCTTGTAGAAACTTGAATTCCAGTAAGGCAAAAGTAAGGCAGAAAACAACCACAGAAAGACATACGTGAATGAGGTAATTTCACATAATGATAACTGCTATGAAGAAAACCAACAGGGCAAAAAGATATGGTATCTGGAGGTAAGGAAAGGACTGTGCCACATGAGGTCATCAGGAGAGGCTTCTCTGAGGAGGTGACATTGAAGCTGGCACCATGAATGAACTGGATTTGTTCCCAACCCTACTCATGACCTCAGACCTGTGCCACTTCAGCCTCAGGTGGCTCACGGGTGCTTCTGCCAGAGTCACCTGGCTCCCTTGTTAAGTGTCCTAGAGTTGTGGCTTATGGGCAGCAGTGTCTGGGACCTAGGGATGGAAGGATGATAAGACACTCAAGCCGGAAGAGCTCGTGCCCACGGGGCTGCCCTGTCCAGTTCTAGGGCCTCTGTGTTCGAGGAGTTGTATGATACCCAGAGGTCTCTCCAGGTGATCCCTCTGACCAGAAAGGTGACCAAGTCCCAAAGAGGAGATGGGCTATGCTTACAGTTGTACAAGTGCTGGGCTCAAGGGTACCCAGCTAAGAGGGTAAGCTAAGAGGCCACCTAGCACCAGGAAGAGGGAGTGGCTGTCTAGTTCACACAGTGGGATGCTGTGGGCTAGTGGTGACCCTGAGCTTGGTGGGTTAAGAGGGTAGAGATTGGCCCACGTTGCTTGCCCTTCTCTCTGCTTTGAGGCTTTGCCCCTGCCAGCCCAGGAGGCTAGAATAGGAGGCCCAGGAGGTAGAACATCATCACTATTTGAGGATTGCAGTCCTCCTTCATTATGGTGAGGGAGGCTTCGCAAGCTCATCACAGGCTTTCTGGGGCAGGGAAGGGGAAGGCTGGGACTCCCTGGGGTCTTCGTGGAGCTGACAGGCTGAGGAGTGGGCAGGGCCTGGGGCGGCAGTGGCCCAGAAGGGGCTTATCTCCTCTGGGCCAGTGTCAGCTCAGGTCCCCAGCCTGTGGTACAGGCTGGAGCTGCCAGCCTGAGACTAGGGACCACAGCGAATTTGCATTTATATTGGAGACTTCTGTTTCCAGGGCCTGGGGGGAGGAGGGTAGCCACGCTGGTCAACTGAGCAAGAGGCAGAGAGGAGGGGCCCCCAGCCTTGTCCTGCCAGGGGCACGGAAGTGGCTGGTGGGCTGGGCCTGCCTGGCTGAGGAACAGTGGCACAGAAGGTTCTCTGGGCACAAGGCCGGCCCTGACAGCCTGCCGGTCCACCCTCCCAGGCGCTTGCCAATGTCAGCTGGGAGTTGGCTCTGCCCCATGGGCCTGGGAGAAAGGTCATAGGCCTGTGCCAGCAAGGGACTGGTGAAGACAGAGGTACTCCTGGGCACAACTGCGTTGTCCTGTCCTACCCTCTTCTCAACCTGTGAAGTGGTTTCAGACAAGAAAACCAGGGCTCAGAGGCACTGAGCAATTAGTCCAAGGCAATCCAGCTCATAATCTAGTGCCCCTGAAGCTGCCTCCTAGTAACACTCAGGGTACTCATGTGCTCTGGGAGATGCCCTCTGACTCTGGGGTAGAGAGGACTTGGCAATTACAACAGTATCTGATTTGGGGAGAGTGGAAGGAGCTCGTCACAGACTCGTGACACCTTTAGGATTGGCTTTGTGATGGTTCGGCACACATGCTTCATTTTATGAAGAAGTCCATGGTTATGACCAGGTTCAGACCAGATTGACCCTTGCCTTTGAGGAATGTAGCTTCTCCCTATGAGATTTCATAAGGGGGAAGGAATGACAGAAAGGCAAGAAGGAGGGAGAGAGGAAGAGAGGGAAGCATGGAAATAAGGCATGGAAGAAAGGATAGAAGGAAGCATGGAAGGAGGGCTGGTTGGAAATAAGGAGGGAAGGAAGGGAAAGAGAGCAGTTGAGAAGACGAGCCAAGGCCTGCAGCACCCCCACTGGCAGTGGGAGAGAGCCACCTACCCCCGGCAGTATGCTGCCTCCCTTATGCACCTGGAACTGTGGTGAGTCCCCTCCTGGCTGGGGGATGGAGTGGTGCTCCCTCCCCATCCTCCTGCTCCTCCCACTACACCAAGTCCTCCTGGCTTCCAGTGGCAGGCTGAGTCCTGCTCCAGGCGGGGGACCAGTGACCGCCTGGTGGGTGCTCCAGGGAACAGAGGTCAGAGCCCCCTTGTGATCCTGGGGCTCAGTTCTGGTGACCCAGGCTTTTTCTTCATCCCTTAGTGCTTTGCTGCCTCTGGACGCGGGTTCTGTCTTGCTCTTTGGGCTCTCTTCACTGCCCCCCTCCCCCATCCCTCCAGACGGAGGTCTTGGCCCCCTTCCCCCAGCCTGTGACTGTGGGCTTGCAGCTGACAAACCTCCTGGTCCTGGCTCTCCATCCAGTAGCACGAGCCCTCCCTGTCTGTCACCAAACAGTCAGGATGGCCTGTTCCACCTGGCAGGCTGGCTAGTGCCCAGCTTCGTCTTGGGAAACGAGGACCAGCTCTGACAACCTGCTGCCCAGCTCTGACAACCTGCTGCTTAGGTTCAAATCCTGACTGTGCCTCTTCCTAGCTGTGTGGTCTTGGGCAAGACCCTTTGCTTGTCTGGTATGAAGGTATCAATCATTCAGTTGTGTCCGTCTCTTTGGGATGCCATGGATTGTAGCCCGCCAGGCTCCTCTGTCCATGGCATTCTCCAAGCAAGAATACTGGAGTGGGTTGCCATTCCCTTCTCCAGGGGATCTTCCTGACTCAGGGATTGAACCTTCCTCTCTCATGCTCCTGCATTGGCAGGCAGATTCTTTGCCACTAGCACCACCTGGGAAGTCCTCACTTCTCTGAGCCCTGGCTATTTATCAGTAAATGGGTGAAAAGCTAAGACCTGCCTCTTAGATCGCTATGTGGATTATATAAGATCATGCCTGGAAAGTGCTGGCTCTGTGCCTGCCATCTAGTAAGCACTCAATACCTATTAGCTCTTATTATCCAAACTCTGTCTTTCAGCCTAGTGGGGATGTTAGGTTCCAGGGACCTGTTTCTGTGGCTCCTCCATTAACTTTTTTATGCCTAGTGTCTCACGGCTATTGCAGCATATAGAGGATTGAACCCTGCCACTATTTTACTACTGCCGCTTCTTCCAGCTAACATTTAATGTGTCCTTATGATGAGCTACACATTGTTCAAGCATTTAAAAAAATAATGGCTCCAAATTCCTTGACTCTCTTCCTGTCAAGGGGTGGGGTCTATGACCCCTCCTGTGATAGTTTCTAGAAATAAAATATGGCAGAAGTGACACTGTGTGACTTCTGAGGATAGGTTAGATGTGGCCATAATCACCTGTGCTTGGGTCTCAGGGGACACTCGCTCTTGGAATCCAGCTGCCATGCTGTGAGGAAGCTCACGACCCAAGGAGAGGCCACATACAGCTGTTTCAGCTAATAGCCTCAGCCGAGCTAGGCTTGGCTGCCAGACATGTAAGGGCAGACTCCTTTTGATGATTCTGGTGCCTGGTCTTCAGTTCTTTCCAGCTGAGGCCCCAGATACTGTAGAATGGGAGGAAGCCATCTCTCATGTGCTCTGTCTGGATTCTTGACCCATAAGAATCTGTGAGCTTAAGAAGCTGGTTAACAACACTGTATTTGGGTGGGTTGTTACTCAACAGTCAATAATTGGAACCCTTGCACTGACTCAGGAAGTAGTTGTTATAATCATCTCCATTTCACAGAGGAGGAAATTAAACCCAAGATGCTTCAATGAGTTCCTCAAAGTCACAGAGCACCTAAGAGAGGGGATTTGTCCTCATGGGTCTCATTCAAAGCCGTGCACCATCCTCAAGGACACGGTGGGCCAGAGAGGGGATTAGGTGTCAATTTGAAGGCCTTGGGGGGCCGCAGGAGGGCGCTGCAGTGGAATCTGTGAGTTTGGGGAAGGGCTCTAAGAAGGGTGCCCTGTGGAGAGGCGGAGAGGCTGAGAAGGGGCTTGAAGTGGCCACTGGGATGGACAGTGCCATCCTGCCATTGTCTGCTATCTGCTCTCTGCCCTGCCTCTCAGAGCCGTGAAGCTCTGAGAAGGACTCTGAGAAGTCCTTCTCGGTGAAGGACTCAGGAGTCCTGATCTTAGTTCCTCATGAGCTCTGCACCTCTCAGAGCTTGGCCCAGCCAGGGATGCCCACCAGTTGGGCTGACCTGGGCTGTGCCTTTGGACAGGCAGAGCCTGGCTGCAAAGGCCAGGGGCTTCAGGGCCAATATGAACAGAAAAAAGACCCAGGTGAGTTCTCGGCCCTGTGCACCTCAAGATGGGCCACAGTGCTCCAAGATCACCTGTGCCAACTGCATCTGTTTTGGAGTTGGCTGTGAGTGGAAGAGAACTCCAAAGAAGAGTGCCTTAAAGGAGATAAACACTGATTTCTCTTTCTCATAAACAGTCCAGAGGCCGGCAGTCCTAAGATAGCAAGATGGCTCTTTGGTCCACAGGGACCCAGATTCCTTCTATCTTACTGTTCCACACTCCTCAACACCTCAAGGCCCAAAATAGCTGCTCATTCTCCAGTCATCATATTTACATTCTGGCTAGAGGGAAGGGGGAAGAGGCAAAGAATGCTCTGCCTCTCTTTAAGGACCTCTCTCAGAAATTGCACATGGTATTCTACTTTCCTCCTCTTGGCCAGGATGGAGACACATGATCATACCTAACTGTAAGAGGCTAGGAAGTGTGGTCTCCATTCTAGTGTCCATGTGTTTAGCAATGTCTGTGGGGTCCTAATACTAAGGGAAAGGGAGACCATCGGCTTAGAAACCACCAGTAATCCCAGCCATACCTGAAAACTAGCAGCCAGAGTGCGTGTTTTTAAACTCATATCATTTTATTTCCCTGCTTTAAAGCATCCTGTAGCTCCCCCTCCTCCCACTGTAAAGGCTAACTCCTTATCCAGTTCTCAGGACTGCCTGATCTTATCCTGTCCTTATACCTCTGCTGCCTCATCCTCCCCAGCCCACCCCCAACGCTGAATTCAAACCATACCCACACCCACTCTCACTCTGAGTCTCCTCTGTGCTCTGATGATTTGGGAAATCCATAGTCAAGATCAGCCACAGAGACAGTTAAAGACCATAAGGGCTGTGGTTGTAAAGTCCCTACCATGTGCCAGGTACATACATAACATTTTGCCATCTCATTCCAACCTCAATGCCCTGTGAAGTTGGTACTCTTGGGACTTCCTTCTATAGATAAGAAACGCACGTGCTGGGTAGAGGCGTGTCATGATCTCCTTGCTGCACTGCCTTGCTGATGAGAAATGACAACTGTGGGCACGGCGCACAATGCTCCCTTCTGTCATCTTGTGGCAGTCCTCACAGCTACGGTGTCCCTTTTGCAAATGAGGAAGCGGAGGCTCAGAGAGGAACAGTGACTCCCCCAAGGCCACGCAGCCAGGTAATAGCCATGTCCTAATTGGAACCCAGGTTTCTCTGCCCCTTGCCTCCTGGAGCTCATCCTGGCCGACTTCAGGGCCTATTCCCTGGAGCTCCACCAGCTGCCCCGTTTGCCTCCCCAGGGAGGAGTGAGGACAGACTGCACTCTCCCTTCTGTGGTCCTGGTGAAGGTGGCAGGGATTCCAGTGTCCAGGCTTCAGATGAGGAGATGGAGATGGAGGTCCCCAGAAGGAAGGAACTTGCCCAGGATCCTACCCACCATCAAGGGCATTACTGTGCAGGGATCTTTCACACTCAGCTCATTCACGCACAAATATTTATTGAACACCTGCTGTGTGCCAGGCACAGTGCTAGCCTCTGAGAATCACAGAGATAACAAAAACAGGCATAAATGCCTGTATCTGCCCCTGCCGCCCCGTCCCACCATGGAGCTAAAATTCTAGGGCAGAGTTGGGGAGGGGGAGTGGTGGAAACTAACCAAATAAATCTTCAGCAGCTACTGTCTTCCCTCTTTATTTCTTTCCTTCGACAAATATTTATTGAGAACTATATTTCTATAAGACAGACATGGTCCTGACTCTCCTGGAGTGAGGGTCTAGTGGTGGAGACAGGCACTAAATGAGGAGACACATAAATAAACAAGATAAATTCAGATTGTAATAATGGCAGAGAAGACATCAAGGTTAAGTGCTGGGGAGTGAGGGGGAGGGGAGGCAGAGCTTCGGAGGGTGTGGTCAGGGAAGGTTTGAGGGCTGGAGCTGAGATCTGAAGGGCATGAAGCAGCCAAGCAGGGTGTTTCAGTTGGAGGAAACAGCAAGTGCAAAGGGGCCAGGTAGGACTGAGCTTGGAGGTGTGGGGAAGAGCAGAGAGAAGGCCAGGTGGCTGGAGCAGGGTGACAGGTGGCAGGTCAGACAGGGACGCAAGAAGGGCCAGGGTGCCATGGAGGGATACTGAATCGAGAGAGGGATGACTAGACCCACAGGGGGCACTGCTCGGGCAGGCCAGTCATCCCTACATCTGGGGGTTTCCCAGCCAGACCCCTGAGGGGGAGCGCTGAGCACCTGCTGGCCTGGCACTGTCTGCCTCTGCAGAGATAAAGCCCCACAGCCCCCTGCAGTGGAGCCCCCCTGGGCAGTTGCTCCACCTGCACAGCCGGCGAGGGCATTGTGTGCTGGCTCTGACAGGCACACCTGGTGCTCTCACTAGCTTGCTGTCTGTCCTGATTTAGGGGCTCATCCTGGCTGGTTTCAGGGCCTGTTCCCCAACGTCCACCAGCTGAGATGAGGCTGGTTGAGGAGGAGGAAGCAGGCTCTGGTAGTAACCCGCGTAGCAAGCATGTCTCAACCTGGCAAGCCCATTGGACCCAGAGAGAAGTAGTCCTGAGTACCTATGAAACTCCAGACTTCTCTTTTCTGTTCACCTTTCCCCAGATTGCAAAGAGCCTGGGGCTCATGCAGGAAGCAAGGTTCAAGTGCCAGTTTAGCTGTGATGTTTAGAAATTTTCAGTCTCTCTCTCTGGGCCTCAGTATCCTCATCTGTACAATGGAAGGGTTGACTTGATTAAATTCAATGTAGACTCTAGAGATAGACTGTCTGAATCTTCATTTTACCATGTAGTGGCTATTTGAACCTAGGTAAATTATTTTTAGTGCCTCAGTTTACTCATCTATAAAATGGGAGTATAATAATAGCATCTGTTTCAAGGGTTGTCTGAAGACTGAGTTATGTGTGCTTAGAAGACTGTGCCTGGTGCTTAGAACACTGCTTGTCCCATGGTAAGTGCTATATTTAACTCCGATTGGTATTATTATTCAAATCTTTAGAGAACATTGAACTGGAAAGACTTAGAAAGACTCTAAGATAACCGAGTCTGTTTGTTTGCAAACTTTTTGGTCTTTGTTTTTAACAAGAGGCTCTGCATTGCTCAAGAGAAATTTTACTCAGAGGCCCAGCTGTTCAAGGGGATAGAGGGAGGGGGTGCCTGCCCCACCTGCTTCCCCGTCTCAGTGTCTGCAGCCCTCAAGGGGGATGCTGGAGCATAATTTGAGAACTGCTCAGTCCATCTTCTTCAGCTCACAGTCAGGGAAACTGAGACTCAAGAGAAGGACAGGGACCAGCCCAGGTCCCACAGGGATTGAGTGGCTCAGCCTAGCCTAGAACCCAGATCCCCTGGTTTTCTCAAAGCAAGACAAGGGGCAGGAGCTGGGAGAAAAGCAAGGACCAGAAGCCACTTAGGGGACTGGGTGCATTGTGGCGTCAAGTTATTAGCATGTAAATCACATGCAAATAGATGCAAAACAGCATGTTTTATGCTAATTTGCAGAGTCGAGAGCTACGACATTTTTGGTAATAGGGCAGCAGCCCTGGTCCCTGGGCATTGCCGAACACGCGTCCCTTTTTTCTTTCCTTCTTTCATTATTATGATCAGGCCCATAAATCTTGGCTTGGCTATAATCCCGCCCCTTCTCGCCTGCAAGCCTGGCTCTTGTCACCCTCAAGGGCTTCCTCTTCAGTCTCCTGGTCCTGCCTGGGCTCAGAGACGGGCCTGGGCAACGGATCAGAGAACCAGGATTCAGGAGCCACTAGTCAGCTCCAGGGCGTGGAAGCTGCTTCTTCAGGAGGGGGGTCTGGGTGGAAATCTGATGGGGCTTGGGTCATGGCTGCTACTCCTCTGTGCCAGTTGTCCTGGGCATCTGGAGCATGTCCACCATGCCTTCCCAAAGCCAGCCCTAAGCCCAAGTTTGGCACCTCTGCTGAGCTCCCATGGCCACTGTGGTATTCCTGCTATTGTCTGGGGTTGGCCAGCCTTGCAGGGTGACCCACTCCAGGAGCGCAGGGCCTGCTCCTTTTCTTGTACACCCAGTACCTTGGACACAGGTTTTGGATGTATCTGGTGTTGGGGAACTGAAGCAGTACACAGAGATCTAGATGTGCACCTGGGTGAGCTTGCAGTTTCTGAAACCATGCTGCTTGAATTCAAATCCTAACACCTCTGCTTTCTGAGCTAGCACTCATACTAACAGGAACGATGCACCTACCATGATCCAGGTGCTTTGCTTGGCGCTTACTGTTTAGGCTCTCACTGATAATAATACAGTAAGTCCCCCACAGACAAACTTTAGGTTAGGAACTTTCAGAGATGTGAATGTGCCCCTGTATGCCAGTTGCTGTACTATACCACTGTACTTTTCAAGATACTGTACTGTAAGATTTAAAATGTTTTAATTTTTGTTTTTTTAATGTATTATTTGTGTGAAAAGTATTATAAACCTAGTACAGTACAGTATTATATAGCTAGGTGTGTTAGTTGGGTATCTAGGGTGACTTTGTTGTACTTACGAACAAACTGGACTTACCAAACACACTCTTGGAAAGGAACTTGTTTGTATGTGGGGGACTTACTATATCTTATAGGGTGGGTATTTTATTATGGCTCCCATTGTATGAGAAGAGGGCAAATGACTTCCCCAAGGTCACAATGCCAGGGGAGCTGACTAAAGGGGCATTTATATTTATTGAGGATGAGTGCCTCACAAGGCAGTGGTTCTAAACCACTCAGCAAAGCTGCTGTCACAGGAAATCAGAGCTTCTACCTTACCATCTGCCAGCCTTTTGACAGTGTTAAACTTTACCTGTGCCCATAGAAAATATGGATGGTTAAGAAATCTCCTCAACTTTTTGTTTTTTGCAGTCCCTCTACCGATTTTGTTCTGATAAATGGCTTACTGCAAGCTACCACCTTCTCCATAATACTTAGGTAAGACTCTATCCATCTTTCTCATGACTCCCCTAAGATTGGAGATGACTCCCCTTGTTTGTCTGTGACCTTTTCCCTTTTGCCTGAGCCTGCTAAGGCCAAACAAAGACCTTCCCATTCTTTGTCTACTGGTTGATTAGCTGAGGTTAGAACTGTTTGTGCCATCTGAAACTAGACAGAGATAAACATTTCCTGTTCAGCTGGTTGAGACGACTTCCCCTGATTGTAAAACATCCCCCAACCTGTAACCTGTCTACTCCACCCTATAAAAGTCAGGCAAACCGGCCCAGCCCAGACACCGTGGTCTTGGGCTCGCGGGTGCTTCCCCATTGCAAGAGCTTGAAAAAAAATCACCTCTCCCATTGTCTGATGTATTTTGTCTTTGACACTCTTCCACTGTGCCGTTTTTCAGCTAAGGCTCCCGAGCCTTTTTAGAGCCCCGCGTGTGACCTTGGATCACTTCCTAAGCATCTCCAGGCTCCGGGCTCCTCTGCTGCAAAACGTGATGATCACCGGCCTACCTCCCCAGGTTGAGACAGGAGATCACGCCCGGAAACGCTTGGCGCAGAGCCGGGCCGGAGTGAACGCTCCAGAAATGTCAACCTTTGTGTTTGCAGGAAAGGCGAGCGGCGCTTGGGACACTCGGCCGGCGGAAGTGGAGGAGTGGAACGCGCATCTGGAGACTTCTACCCCTGCTCCGGCGCTGGGGGGCTGTCCTGGGTCCCCTCCCCCGGCGCCCCCCGGGATCGCAGTCTGGGTCGGGGGTCGGGATGGGGGGCATACTCCCCACTCCCGCCCTCCCCGCCGCCCGCCTTTGATTACGGCTAGCAGCGAATCGCCGAGCAAATTAACTTTTTGCACACTTCATTATGCGCCGCCCCGCGTCCCCCCGGGGCCGCGGCCCCGCCCCCGCCCCGCGCCGACAACTTGATTGGGCAATTAATCTTCGCGGCCCCCCCAGCCCCCCGCAGCCCGGCCCGGGCCTTTGTGCGCCTGCACGCGGGCCGCCGGCGCCCGCCCGGACGCCGGGTCTGCTAGCGCTGATTGTCCGCGCGCGGGGAGGCGCGGCCGTCGCTGCCGTCTAGCACCCCGTCAGCGCGCCCCCGCCCCCTCGGCTCGGTCCATCTGTTTGAGCTGCGCAATCCTCCAGCGGCCTGGCGGGGGAGGGGTCTCGCTCTCGGGCCGGGAGCCAGCGCCCCCTCCACCCGGTCGCTCCATGTGTAGGAGTGACGCCCCCCAGGCCCCGAGAAACACACACACGCGCGCGGGCGCGCGCACACACACACACACACACACACACACAGCGCCCAATTAAGCAGCGCGGTAGTAATTAAGAAGTGGGGTGGGGGGGGGGGGCGCGAGGCACAGCAGCAGTCTAAGGAATGGAGGGGTTTCCCAGCTGTGTCCAAAGAAAGAAGGGGTGCTGCCACCCATTCTGTACCCAGGTGTGTGACCTCTGGTTACACGCTTGGGGCTCTGCGGTTGGGGTAGGAGGAGAGAAGGAGAGGCCCTGGGAATTTCTCTGATAAGTCATGCTTCTTTGTGCATTTTTTTCTGGTGTTTTGCCAGCAGTTGACCCAGCCTCAAAAAGGCAGCCTGTGATTAGTGAGTGTTGAGAACCCGGGCCCTAAATGGAGGCTAAATGCAGGATGATTGTAGAGACCAATAGCAAGGTGGTTTAGAAAGGGCTCCCAACTCACTGTGGGAGGCTGTTTCAGGTTACAGCTCTGTGCCCAGGGGTGGTGGGAGGCCACGGGCTGTCAGCGCTGAGCATCCAGCATGTGCTTACTGGTGTTGGTTCTTGGGATTTTCTCTGGCCTTTCCTGGACGACACAGGACAGGGACTGAAAGCTGACGGGTGAATGATGATGCTGAAAATAGGCTCTTGAGTTTCCTCCTGCTCCAGGGCCAGTAGGCATGGGTGCAAAGCTTGTGGTCTGTGCCGAGCTTAGGGCTGGGGTGTGTGTGTGTGTGTGTGTGTGTGTGTGTGTGTGTGTGTGTGTGTGTGTGTGTGTGTGTTCCCTGGGAAGTGTCTGCACCAGCTTGTGAAGGGTTCGAGTTTTGTTTGAGTAAAGGATTCTTAGCCTTCACTAGTGCTCATAATAAGGGTGTGACCCAGTGTGCACAGAATCCCTGAGGAGAGGGCTGGCAAAGCAGCTTCATCCAGGTAATCCACCAGCAATGCTGACTGAACACTCACTGTTTGCAGAGTGCACAAGGGCGCCCCTAGATGCTAGGACAGCATGAGCAAAGCAGAGCTGTTGTCCTCACAGGCTCACAAGCTAGTCTGAGAGATGGATGAGAAGTAAGATAAACACAGAAGTCATGAGATAATAGAGCTGGAGATTAAAATAAAGCAGGACAACTGAGTTGGTGTGTGGGCCCCACTTGCTGGACACCCCCTTCCCACCACCACCCAGATGCCGATGCCCGGGTAATGAAGTCTGCACTCTGGAATGTAGGGACCTAGTCTGCCCTGATTCTCTGCAACCCATCTCTCTACTCCCTGGGACCTAGACCCCCCAGCCAGTTCTGTGGCCATCCCAGGGGCAGGGTCCCTGGGATGATGGGCAGGCTCAGTCTGCTGTGGGCTCTCCCCCTTATTCCTGTGCAGGTGGTGGTGGTGGTTCCTTCGGATAATGACAGCCTCCAGTCTTGCATGACGGAAAGGCCTCACGGGTTTATAGTCCAGAAGGGGCCCTGTGAGCAGAAGCTGAATTAAAATGGAGAAATACAGCCTCCCCTTCCTCCCCTCCTTTCCTTTCCCCCGCCCAACTTCCCTCATTCCCACAGCCCCTGAGGCCATGGGTGAATAGTTTCTTAGTCCATTTGCCTTGCTAAACTGAGTTAGTGAGCTGGGTATATACCTTCCTATGCGAAGAGTCAGACACGACTGAGCGACTGAACTGATGGGTACTAAAGTTAGGAGACACCCAGAACCAGCAAGTGGAATAAAGAGAATACTGTTTGACTCTGAATGCACCACCCCTCCTCTCCCCAGTACAGACTAGATCTCTTGTCAACTCTAATCCTTGATTCTGATGTTCTGGCTCTAAACATTCTAAGACTTCAGAGTTGTAGACTCTGACATTCTAGAATATTAACATCCTATGCATCTTACATGACCATCCTGGATGTCTATGATTTCTGTTCTTGTGTTCTAGAATTCTGGGACCCCAATATTGATTTTTGTTGGGGTCTACTCATTGAAGTAACAAAAGAGAAAGACTCCATGCAGAGGCACATGATTTGTCATAATGATAGCAACTAACAGTCTTTCAATCATGCTTTTATTCAACAGTTCTTTTTGTTGTTGTTGTTTAAAAACTCTTTTAAGTGCCAGACACTCTTCTTGGATTATACAAATAAATTTAAATATATTAAAAAATAGACAAATACACAATTTGTTAGAAGATGACATGTGCAGGAGAGAGGGGTTGGGAATGAGGGAGCACAATTCAAATTGATGGTCAAGGTAGGACGTAATAAGAAAGTAATATTTGATTTTCTATTTATTCTTTCATTTATTGAAAGTTGAAATTTCATTGTAACTATGGATTTGTTTCTCCTTGGAGGTCTACTAGCTTTTGCTGTACATATTTTAGATCTCTGCCATTACGAGTATAAACATTTAAAATTGTTTTATGCTCTTAATTAATCAATCCATTACTTGTTATGAAATGACCTTTTCTATCCCTGGTAAGATTCTTTGCTCTGAAATGAAATTTGTCTGATATTAACCTAACCACTCTAGTGTTCTTTTAATTAGTGTTAGTATGGTATATCTTTTTCCATCCTTGTACTTTTAACTTGTGTCTTTATATCTGAAGTGGATGTATGGTTTTGTTTTTGTTTTGGTACATGGCATGTATTTGGGTCTTTATAAAAATTCAGTCTGACAATCTCTGCTTTTTAATTGGGAGTGTTTAGACTACTTACATTTAATGTGATTATTGATATGATTCAATTTAAGCCTATTATCTCATATTTGCTTTCTCTGTCCCATTTGCTCTTTATTTTTTTTTCTTTTCTGCCTCATTTCTTTCTTTTTTTTTTATTTTGACAATTTTTAAGTCTTTATTAAATTTGTTACAACATTGCTTCTGTTTTATGTTTTGATTTTTTGGCTCTGAGGCATGTGGGATCTTAGTTCCCTGACCAGGGAACAAACCCACACCCTCTGCATTAGAAGGTGAAGTTGTAACCAATGAACTGTCAGGATAGTCCCTCTTTCTGCCTCATTTCTGATTAACTGAGCACTTTTCATTATTTCATTTTCCCTCCTTTGTTGGCTTCTTATCTATAATTCCTCATTCTGTTATTTCAGTTGTTGCATTAGAATTTATGGTATATGTCTTTAACTTGTCACAGTCTACTGTCAAGTGATATTATACCACTTCATATGTAGTGTAAGAACCTTGTAATAGTATACTTCCATTTCTCTCTTCCTGACTTTAATGCTATTATTGTCATGCATTTTACTTGTGTAGATGTTACAAACTCCACCAAATATTATTATTTTTGTTTAAACAGCAAATTACCTTTTAAGGACAACTAAATGATAATATAGAATCTTACATATTTACTCATGTAGTTAACATTTTTTCCTTTGCTCTTATTTCCTTTGCATAGATCCAGATTTCTGTCTGGTATCATTTTTCTTCTGCCTGAAAAGACATGTGCAGGAGAGAGGTGCATTTATCATTTTTTGTAGTGCAGATCTGTTGGTAAAGAATTCTTTCAGCTTTTGTTTGTCTGAAGACATCTTATTTCACTTTCATGTTTGAAAGATATATTAACAGGGAACAGAAATCTATGTTGACCCGTTTATTTTTCTTTCAGTAAGTTAAGATGTGGCTCTACTATTTTCTCCCTTCCATGTGTCCAGTAATAAATTTGCCATTATCCTTATCTTTGTTCCTCTGTACTTAACATACCTTTTTTCTTTGACAGTTTTAAAAATATTTTCCTCTTTGTCACCAGTTTTGATCATGATAGGTAATTTTCTGTTTTTTTTTGTGCTTGAGGTTTGTTAAACTTCTTGCACCTGTGAGTTCATAGTTTACATCAGATTTGGAATATATTCAACCATTTTTTTTTCAAATTTTCCTTTCCTTTGGAGAACTCAGTTTCATATATATTAGACTATTTGAAGTTGTTCCACATTTCTCGATACTTTTCCTGTTAAAGAATTTTTTTCCCCTCTACATGTTCCATTTTGGATAATTTTTCTTGCTGTGTCTGCAGATTCATTAATCTTTTCTTCTGCCATGTTTAGTCAGCCATTAATTCTAGCATATTTTTCATTTCTGATATTGTAATTTTCATTTCTAAAAGTTTGATTTGGATCTTTTTATGTCTTCCATGTGTCTCTTTCACTTGGGAACATATAGAATACAGTTTTTAAAATTGTTTTAATGTTCTTATCCACCACTTCCTTGTCAGTTCTGTGTCAGTTTCAACTAATTCATTATTGTCCTCACTATGAGCCATGTTTTCTTGCCTCTTTGCATGCCTGTAATCTTCATTTGGATGCCAGACATTGTGAGTTTTACCTTTGGTGGATGCTATAGATTTTTATATTTCTATAAAAGATGCTTGCTCCTTGGAAGAAAAGCTATGATCAACCTAGACAGCATATTTAAAAGCAGAGACATTACTTTGTCAACAAAGGTCCATCTAGTCAAAGCTATGATTT